TAAAACATTTCATGATATAAATAGACTATTTTTAACTTCACATAGTTAAAAAAATTGTAAGCAGCTCATCATGTGCAGCTAAAAATTGTAGTGTGGGCTAAAATAAGATGGTTACGCTTTGAGTGATAATAGACGCTCGCAGCAGCTCCATGCAATTGAAAAACCATCAGATGAAGAAGTAGCCATCCCAAGTTCATCCATAACAATCAGACTCCTACATCCATCAAAATAAATAATTATAAATACAAACTGTTGAACATTTCTGTCTGTGTTCCTATTCTCATATGCTTTATGGAGTCAGTTCCAGTCATGAATAATGGTGTCTGCTAAGTTAATGGCCATCAGAAATCAAACCTTACAGAAAATATAAGAAGCGAGCCATGCAACCAAGTTAACTAGGTCTGGGCTAAGTTGGATTGAGAGGCATCCAAATGACCCGGTTTTACCTATTGGAGACATTCTGCATGATAAAAGCTGTCTCTTTCATCTCTGTCATGAACTGCCACAGAGAAAATGCTGGATAAGAATATGACGCCTTATCTATACTATTCATTCTTGAAATTGTCAGTTAAATATGCATTCATGTTTATTAATAGAGGAAGCAGTTATGAATGATTTCCTCTCTTGTAAAAAAGGAATTTCACTCAAACAGAGATTTTTCATGGAGTGTTAATTATTTTTTCACTTGCCTTATCTGATATAGGATAACTAATGATAGAACCATAATTATCCTATAATATAGAGAAATAGGGGAAATTATGGAGAAGAGAATGTCAGAATAAAAGACAGATGAAGGAAGAAAAGAAGAACATTAAGCAGACAAAAAATAAGGGACAAAAGAAAAATACTGCATAGAAATGTAAATAAATTCACAAGGAAATTATCAATTCCAATATTCCCAAAAGTTGCTTAGCAAACTTTTTGACCTTTACTAAAAAGAAAAGCTACTAATAGGAAAATAAATCAAAAATTTCAAAGTTTGGAAAAATTAAATAACTCAAATCTTAAAAATTTCTATTTCCCAAGTAGAAAAGTAGAAACAAATCTACCTTAAAACATATTTTATAGTCAGCCTTCTTAATTAGGCTTAGAGACTCATGAATCATTCTGCTCAACTGGCAAATAACTCAACTCCGATGAGTTAAAATGCAAATGGCCAGCTAACAGTTTGGGATTCAAGGTGTGCAACAAACCTTCACCGATCCAAACAAGAGCAGACTTGGGATGACCTTTCCACTCAACAAGAAAATCTTGGAAATTGCCTTTAGAGGTGGCAATAACATTGATTTCCCATATGGCTGCAATCTCACCCTGACAAGGTGAGAAATATGAGAAACAACACAAGAGGCTCCAATAAACCTTGACAAAGTGAAATGTTCCCAACTCTGAGAACATGATCAATATTCATGTGCTTACATACATCAAAAAGATATACAACAGTAGGTTCATATTTCTTGAGATAGGGAATGGGTCAAGGGGACATGTGCAATAAATCTGGTGAAGTGTTGACCATGAAAATTACCAAGTTGAAAGGACACTTTAATAGGAGGATCAAGGATAATAGGCTCTTAGGGATGTTGGGAATGTGGAAGACAATTACAGGATATGGAAGGCAAATGCGTGGGATCACAAGGTGTAGCAGCTTGCACCTCTGAAAACTCCTTAGAATCATTAAGGGAAAATTAGAGAGGCAACAAGACAAGTAGAGACAACATTTCTTTCATTGTCAAGTCATCTTTGTCTCCTGAGTATTCAATTGGATCAACAATTTGTGTTTCAACAACAGATGAATCATAAAATTTGCTCTTTCAACAAGTTGTAGGATCTTCTGAGATGGAAGATAAAGCGGGATGGAGGCTGAATGCTTACAGTGCTTGAAGGTAAAGTTTTCTTTGAAGCTCTTACAATTTGTAGCAATGTTAGTTATGTTTGGATTGTTGGAGAGTGGGACAACTTACCCAGACAGGATCAATGAGGGACCAGAA